ATTTTTCTTATCAGCTATTTAAAATATTATTTATAGACATTCTAATACTTTCTTACGTTACTCTTAAAATTGAATGTTTTATTTAATCTCTTATTGTTTGGCCAATAGCGGTTAGTTGATTTGTTTCCCCTGTATCAATTTCCGATATGGGGTCGGAGTAATAATTTGGAGGATCATAAGGTGTCTTAAACTTAATGCAAATGTTGTGTAACGCTGCAGACACATTAGCAAATCGTGCCACTTTTATAGGGTGATATCTTCCCCTTTTTCCGTATCCTAAAATCCTCCAGCGTCCTTTTAGAATGCCAATTGTTCGCTCAATAATACACCTTGCTTTGGAGTGAATATCGTTAAACATCTGCTCACTTGAACCATCCGATGTGTTTCTGTATGGCGTTATACACCACGGTTCAAGTGGGTAGCCAGAATCTCCTGTTGAAATGTTAATTAATTACTATTACAAAAATACAAAAACTTTACCAAGATATCCACCTAAAAGCCATGAATTTTCCTGCCTGTTTTGTTGAAAACCTTCCTCTAAAGCCCTTCTCTGGTCGGAATGTTTCCAAATGAAGGAATCATGAGCTGCACCACCGTATTGGCAGTTGATTGCCAAAATTTTACATGTGTGATCACATATCTGACAAAAAATATTTGTATCATATTCGTTTTAACAAGAAACATAATCAACTTACTATCATAGCGTTGATACTATGGTACCCCTTACGATTAAAGTACATGTGTTCGTCCGCAGTAGGTTTTTGTAAACCAATATGAGTACCATCTACGCAGCCAATGACTAAAAATTAAGATATTATAGTTAGTAACTTCACAAACTAAAAAAAGGTTTCATTTACCTCCAGGTATTTTATATTTCTCCACAAACCAATCTTTGCAGCTGAACGAATCATGCGGTGCGAAGCGTATGAATTCTGGGCACATCTTCCTTTCCATTTCTAAGACAACACGTGATACAACTTTCGACACAGTGCTCTGACCCATGCCTACTAAATAATCACTGCCAATGTTGTGTTGGTAGCCACCGCTAGCAAGAAGTGATAGGGTGCCTGCCAATTGAAGGATTGGAGGCACCGTTTTGGCATCCGATTGCCTTAAATTTAATTTCTCCAGAACATAAGTAAACGCTTCTTTGGTCAAACGGAATCGTTTCAAGAATCTGCAACGAACTCTTTGTTAAAAAGCTGGGAAAGTATATAAATTATATGCTTACGCTGTGTTCGGCAAGGTTAATGGATTGCTCAGCTGCCTTCGTATCACTTTTTCATCTCCTTCGCTATCGCTGGAGCTCAAATAAAAAAGCAAAGTCGGATCCATATTTAAATTTTCGTTTAACTTGCATTTAATTTTTCAATGTTTTCACAGTTCCACAACTATTGTGACTTAAAAATACGATCCAAAGCATAGTGGAACTTAAAAACTATTGTGAACTAAAAATAAATTACTTAAAAGAATTGTTTAACGCTCGGATTATTTTCAACTTGAAGATGAAACCAAAGACGATATCTACGAGCCAAATTGATAAGTATTATGTCAATTTATTTCTTTAGCTTTCGGTGCTAATATTGCACCCTCATCAGAATT